ATAGTAAGTGTTTAACTGTGAACTTTTTCTTGTGTAAAATATGTTGTGTACCATACATCAATCTCTATAATGTTGTGGCAAATGGCCGGTGGATACAGCACTCGCCTCCTGTTCAAGGGGTCGGTGGTTCGATTCCCGGCCACTCCCAGTTCACCCAACTGTACATGTGTACCAGAGTTTATAACTTGGGAAGTGAACGAAGTCAAGAGCAGTACCGGCCATGCTGCCTCCTTGTGTATACGGTGTGCTGTATCCACACCGGCTCCAATGGGCAGTCATGTCTATGGAACCATCTTTAACTTTTCCACACTTTTTATTACCCCATGTTACAGTTAGATCCTATGTTTTGACAGCACTGTTTTATCATACTGCCAGTTTACAGAATGAAAGTGATTGGGTAATAAGATTTAGATTGGCTCCCTGTACTGTAGGTTGAGTACAGTATGAGCCATTATGTGTGATAATAAATAAGCTTTACTGTTGTGAGGTAAATATAAGGATATCTATACAGTAGAATAATCTTGGTTAGATCCTCTTTAATGCTTTATATTTGGCCATTGTTTGTTTTGGTCTACCCTGGCAGTGCTGTAGATAATGTGGCAGTACTGTAGATAATGTGGCAGTGCTGTAGATAATGTGGCAGTACTGTAGATAATGTGGCAGTACTGTAGATAATGTGGCAGTACTGTAGATAATGTGGCAGTACTGTAGATAATGTGGCAGTACTGTAGATAATGTGGCAGTACTGTAAATAATGTGGCAGTACTGTAAATAATGTGGCAGTACTGTAAATAATGTGGCAGTACTGTAGATAATGTGGCAGTACTGTAGATAATGTGGCAGTGCTGTAGATAATGTGGCAGTACTGTAGATAATGTGGCAGTGCTGTAGATAATGTGGCAGTACTGTAGATAATGTGGCAGTGCTGTAGATAATCAGCATGCTGTGAATAGTATGGCAGTACTGAATAATAATAATGTGTAAATAATGTGGCAGTACTGTGAATAATGGTACTGTGATAATGGCGGTGCTGGCAGATAATGAGTGCTGTAGATAATGTGGCAGTGCTGTGAGATAATGTGGCAGTACTGGCAAGATAATGTGGCAGTGCTGTAGATAATGTGGCAGTACTGTAGATAATAATGGCAGTCTGTAGATAATGATTGATACTGTAGATAATGTGGCAGTGCACTGTAGATAATGTGGCAGTACTAGATAATGTGGCAGTACTGTAGATAATGTGGCAGTGCTGCAGATAATGTGGCAGTACTGTAGATAATGTGGCAGTACTGTATATAATGTGGCAGTACTGTAGATAATGTGGCAGTGCTGTAGATAATGGCAGTGCTGCAGATATAATAGTGCTGTAGATAATGTGGCAGTACTGTAGATAATGTGGCAGTGCTGTAGATAATGTGACGTACTGTAGATAATGTGTGGCAGTACTGGCAGATAATGTGGCAGTACTGTAGATAATGTGGTACTGTAAATAATGTGGCAGTACTGTAGATAATGTGGCGTACTGTGAGTGTATAAGATGTGTGGCAGTGCTGTGAAGATAATAATGGCGGTACTGTAGATAATGTGGCAGTCGCAGATGATATTCAGTACTGCAGATAATGTGGCAGTACTGTAATGATATGTGGCAGTACTGTGAAGATAATGGCAGTACTGTAGATATAATCGGTAACTGCTGAGATAATGTCAGTACTGTTGAATATTGTGGCAGTGCTGTAGATAATGTGGTAGTGCTGTAGATAATGTGGCAGTACTGAGATAATGTGGCAGTGCTGTGAAGATAATGTAGTGCTGTAGATAATGTGGCAGTGCTGTAGATAATGTGGCAGTACTGTAGATAATGTGGCAGTGCTGTAGATAATGTGGCAGTACTGTAGATAATGTGGCAGTGCTGTAGATAATGTGGCAGTGCTGTAGATAATGTGGCAGTACTGTAGATAATGTTGGCAGTGCTGTAGATAATGTAGTGCTGTAGATAATGTGGCAGTACTGTAGATAATGTGGCAGTCTGGATGTGTACTGTAGATAATGTGGCAGTGCTGTAGATAATGGCGTACTGTGAATGTGGCAGTGCTGTAGATAATGGTGGTAGCTGTAGATAATGGCGGTACTGGAAGATAATGTGGCAGTACTGTGGATATTGGTAGTACTGTAGATAATGTGGCAGTACTGGAGATAATGTGCGGTACTGGAGATAATGTAGCTATATGTAGATGATAATGGCGGTACTGTAGATAATGTGGCAGTACTGTAGATAATGTCGTACTGTAGATAATGTGGCAGTTACAGATATGTGGCAGTACTGTAGATAATGTGGCAGTGCTGTAGATAATGTGGCAGTGCTGTAGATAATGAGTACTGGAGATAATGTAGTGCTGTAGATAATGTGGCAGTACTGTAGATAATGTGGCAGTACTGTAGATAATGTGGCAGTGCTGTAGATAATGTGGCAGTACTGTAGATAATGTGGCAGTGCTGTAGATAATGATGGCGTGTTGTAGATAATGTGGCAGTACTGTAGATAATGTGGTAGTGCTGTAGATAATGTGGCAGTACTGTAGATAACGTGGCAGTGCTGTAGAATGTGGCAGTGCTGTGAATAATGTGGCAGTGCTGTGAATGATAATGGCGGTGCTGTGAATGTGTGGCAGTGCTGTAGATAATGTGGCAGTACTGTAGATAATGTGGCAGTGCTGTAGATAATGTGGCAGTACTGTGAATAAATGTGGTGGTACTGTGAATGTGTGGTGCTGTAGATAATGTGGCAGTGCTGTAGATAATGCAGTGCTGTGAATGTGTGGCAGTGCTGTAGATAATGTGGCAGTGCTGTAGATAATGTGGCAGTACTGTAGATAATGTGGCAGTACTGTAGATAATGTGGCAGTACTGTAGATAATGTGGCAGTACTGTAGATAATGTGGCAGTACTGTAGATAATGTGGCAGTACTGTAGATATGTGGTAGTGCTGTAGATATGTGGCAGTACTGTGAATAATGTGGTAGTGCTGTGAATGTGTGGTAGTGCTGTAGATAATGTGGCAGTACTGTGAATGTGTGGCAGTACTGTAGATAATGTGGCAGTGCTGTAGATAATGTGGCAGTACTGTAGATAATCATAGTGCTGTAGATAATGTGGCAGTACTGCAGATAATGTGGTAGTGCTGTAGATAATGTGGCAGTACTGTAGATAATGTGGCAGTACTGTAGATAATGTGGCAGTACTGTAGATAATGTGGCAGTACTGTAGATAATGTGGCAGTACTGTAAATAATGTGGCAGTGCTGTAGATAATGTGGCAGTACTGTAGATAATGTGTAAGTACTGCAGATAATGTGGTGCTGTAGATAATGTGGCAGTACTGTAGATAATGGCAGTACTGTAGATAATGTGGCAGTACTGTAGATAATGTGGCAGTACTGTAGATAATGTGGCAGTACTGGAATGTGTGGCAGTACTGTAGATAATGTGGCAGTGCTGCAGATAATCTAGTGCTGGCAGATAATGTGGCAGTGCTGTAGTAATGTGTCAGTACTGTAGATAATGTGGCAGTACTGTAGATAATGTGGCAGTACTGTGAATATGTGGCAGTACTGTAGATAATGTGGTACTGTAGATAATGTGGCAGTACTGTGAATGTGTGGCAGTACTGAGATAATGTGGCAGTACTGTAGATAATGTGGTAGTGCTGTAGATAATGTGGCGTGCTGTGAATGTGTGGCAGTACTGGCAGATAATGTGGCAGTGCTGTAGATAATGTGGCAGTACTGTAGATAATGTGGCAGTGCAGATAATGTGGTACTGCTGAATGAAATGTGGGTGCTGTAGATAATGTGGCAGTGTAGATAATGTGGGCGTGCTGTAGATAATGTGGCAGTACTGTAGATAATGTGGTAGTGCTGTAGATGTGTGGCAGTATTGTAGATAATGTGGCAGTACTGTAGATAATGTGGCAGTACTGTAGATAATGTGGCAGTGCTGTGAATGATATGCGGTGCTGTAGATAATGTGGCAGTACTGTAGATAATGTGGCAGTATTGTAGATAATGTGGCAGTGCTGTAGATAATGTGGCAGTGCTGTAGATAATGTGGCAGTACTGTAGATAATGTGGGCAGTACTGTAGATAATGTGGCAGTACTGTAGATAATGTGGCAGTGCTGTAGATAATGTGGCAGTACTGTAGATAATGTGGCAGTGCTGTGAATGATGTGGCAGTGCTGTAGATAATGTGGCAGTACTGTAGATAATGTGGTAGTGCTGTAGATAATGTGGCAGTACTGTAGATAATGTGGCAGTACTGTAGATAATTCGTTGTGAATGTGTGGCAGTGTGAGTCGTGATATTGT